AAGTTGGTTTTCAATAATTTTTTCTTACTATCAATTCATCAATCTAAAATAAAAGTGATTTGTTTTTTATTCACATTTCAGAACGTTTTATGTCAATTTGATTGGTTCAGTTGGTTCCAACTGAAGATAAGGGTCAACTTTGGAAGTATGGAGCCTTGCTACCTAGACTCTACGGCCTTCCTAAGAATCATAAGTTAGACCTTCCACTTTGTCCAATCATTAACGTCATTGGTTCACCTACTTATCCTCTTGCCTAAAAACTCTATTGCAACCATACGTAAAAAAAAGGAGAATCTTACATCAGGGACTCATCTAACTACATCGATGAAATGAGTATCTAGTTTGGTCCATCAGCCGAATTATATTCTGGTTAGTTCCGATGTCGTTTCTGTCTTCGCTATTGTTCCAGACAAGGACACCTTGGATTAGATCAAACACATTTTCTTAGGAGACATCACTGCCTTTTTTGGGCATGTAGTCGCTATGAGAATTTCTCTCAACTCTGTGGTTGCAAATGGAAGTTTTTGAGAAGAAACCATTCAGCAACGCCACTGGCAGATTTACCAGCAGGCTGAGTAGGCTTGAGCCTAGGGCGGCAAATTTTGGGACAGATTTTTTTGCCACATCATGAAATCAAAAAGATTTTGGCATGACGGTTTTCTGATGTCTTACAGATAGAAGTCTGCAACAAATTTTGAAGATGGCTTTCCTCCTCTCACGAATTGTTTGAGCGAAAGAAGCTTTTCTTGTCTGAAAAGGGTAAAAAAAATATCTGAGATCGACCTTGAGCCAAGAAAAATTGAACGCCTTTTCTTTTCTTTGCATAGAGTCAGAATTAATGAACAAGATTACTTATGACGAGATTATCGATGATTTTGCCAACAGAAGTTATTGGAACGAACTTTTATAACTTGACTGAGTTCATTTTTTCAACTTTTCAGGAGTGCAATAAAGAATATTTACCAACTGTACTTTATTGTGTAAGTAGGAAACATTACCCCGCTCGTAAATGATTGAGCTTTGATTAACTCAAAGATATACCCAAAAAGTATTTCACCTACGATTTCAAGGAAATTGTTGGATTGTTAAAAAATGTAAGGCATGACAATTGTTGAGGCAAGGGCGGCAAAAACTGTACAGTCTTCACCTTAAACATTTGTAAATCCGCCACTGAGCAACGCTCCATCAAAACTAACCTGTTGGTTCCACTACTATGTTGATGACAGTTTTGTTATTTCGAGCCACGGGAAACAAGCATTAGAACAGTTTTTACGTCACATCAACTCCTTTCATCTCCTCATCCAGTTCATGAAGGAAAAGGAATAAGAAGGTAAAATACCATTTTTGGACGAACTGGTTAACAAAAAAACTTGAAGGAGAATTCCGTCATCCAGACCAATCTATACAAGTCGATAGTTTAACAGCACAAGATATCAAACGTACCCTACACCCCACGGTCTATTGGCCATTCACAAGTCAACTAATCAACTACGCAACACTATCAGATCGGCCAAGGACAAAAAAGCTTCTGGCACCCCTGGTATTACAAGATTCCTTGTTCTCGTCGCTTGGTTCACATCGGAACTACCAAACGCAGCATCATCACCAAGATTGAAGAATACAAGCTTAGCTGCATGGAGAATGAAGAAAGTTTTTAGGAAGTGACATCGGAAACCATGCCCGCCTATACACAGCGAGCAAGGAATAGTCTACACGGATCAGAAGAAAGCGGAAGCATTTGCTGACAATTTTGCAAGAAAGTTTAGAGAAAATGATGTCTCGTTCACGAACGAAGTAGAAGAAATCGAAAACCGAGTCGACGACACGGTACGAAGGATAAGACGGCAACGAAGGAAAAATGCGTAACACGGATGGCACCGACATCTCCCGAGGAAGTGAAAGGCATCGTAAGGTGCCTAGCCACTCGAAAAGCCCCAGGCTCGGACCAAATTCCAAACCGGGCACTGAACACCCTACCAAGGAAAGGTATAGCGGCAATGATGAATATCATTAACGCTATACTCAAACTACAACATTTTCCATACCCGTTCAAAGAGGCAACGGTCATTCACATTCCGAAGTCAAATAAGAATCATATATTTCCAGATAACCATAGGCTGATGAGCTTAACCCCTTCCATAAGCAAAGCGGCAGAACGAGTCATCTTGAAAAGACTAAAAGACCAAACCAGCGAACTGGGAATATTGCCAGATGAACAGTTCGGTTTCAGATCCGAACATTCGACAGAGCTACAAGTCCTGAGGGTAGTAGACTATGCGACAGGAGGTTTCAACCTCAGCAAAGGATACCACACCGGAGCGATATTCCTAGAGTTTGGCACAACAGACTACTAGCAAAATTGAGCTACCCGAAACAAATGATAAGACTAATTGAATCTTTTCTAGCTGCCGGCGATGTCGCTGGAGAGTAGGACAACTCTCCACCATGCGATTACTGGAAGCAGAAGTCCCACAAGGTGCAGTCCCTTTGCAACATCTCTTCTCGGTATACACAGCAGACGTGCCCAAGCCTGAGAACAACTTCAACAAGTTGGCACTCTACGCGGACAACGCAGCTCTACTAACGAGACCAACTAGCCATGTGCAAGTTACCAGATACTTGCAACAGCAAGGCGACAGATTAGAGGAGGAATTTTAAAAATCAGTAGAAACCCTGACAAAAGTCAGGCGATACTGTTCACCCGGAGGATGGTTCACCCGGAAGGTCATCTTCAACGGACAAGAGATTCTGTAGACCAACAAAGCAAAATACCTGGGAGTTACTCTCGACTGAAGACTAACGTTTAGGGCCCACGTACGGCAGAGACTAGGGCTGGCGAGAGCCGCCCGACAAAACCTATATCCGATCATAGGTCACAGAAGCAACATGAGACTCCACGTAAAACTGCTACTAATCAAGTCCGTACTACCCGAATCATCCTGTATGCCTGCACTGCCTGGGGCCAGTGCGCAGCGACATACAAATGCAGTATCCAGACGTTTATGAACGCTTGCCTGCGAGCCGCCGTAAACGCTTTAAGATACATACCATCATATACCGGGATCTGGACCTAAACATCCACTACGTAGACGCGTATATGAGAGATAACGCAGAAAACGTGTTCGAAAGAGTTCGATCACACACCAGTCCAGCGCTGCGCGATCTACATGAAGCTCTCAACAGGCACCTAAAGGCTGACTTTCGACCGCAGTAGATCAGATGTCAATCTTGCTGACGTGCCCATCAGCAGGTTGAGGTCCACACAGGATGAGAGGGGGTGAATGGACGACATTCTAGCTTCTGCACACAGTAACCGTGTGGGAAAGATTTTATCTCAGGGCACACAACCCAGGGGGGCATGGGGAGGGCGGATATTTTATTCTCATTTCATATGCGAAAAATAACAAGCTGACACGAAACAACCAATATGTTACTTGTGAAACCAATAGATACAAAACAACCCTCAAATAAAGATTGCGAGCTAAGGATAAACGAGGTCTTGCCTTTCAACACCCGATTCATAAAAAATCTGTTTTTCCGTTAATCAGCTATCGCCCCCATACGAACGACAACTCTCAGAAGTTGAAAAACTTGTGCGAGCTAAGGACTAAAGAGGTCTTACCTTTTAACGTGTGATTCCTAACACGGTTGCAGAATCATCTCAGCTTCAAACAGATAAATTATCTCGAGAAAAATATCTGGTCGAGGCGGGAATCGAGCCCGCGACCTTCCGATCGAGAGTCGGGCGCACTACCACCGCGACCAATTCCACAATTAGCTCGGTAAAAGGTAAATAATATGTATATTCAATAAATATAAAACATGAAAAATGAGCAACAAATACTCAAAATAATGACAAAATTATCGAAATACTTCTCAATACTAACATACTCTTTACTTTTGAATGATCTGTAATACGTTTCAAATCATTATCAAAGTCAGAACAAATGTATTTCAGACTAATACTTTTTGAATATATTCGCGTCATAAAAGTGGGCTTCTCTTGATGCGAAAACTTTTGGAAAAATTTTGAAAGAAAAAGGTGCATAACTCTATCATTGATATGAAAAACTTCAATTCTCCACATTGAAAGGGAAGATATTTTCAGGAAAGATTAGTTTCTGGAAAAAAGCATTTTTGCTATCCACTTCCCCATCTTTATACCGAAGATAGGAAGAAAGCAATCAAGTTTAAAATAAACTTTTGACAACGATGAATAAATCATGTACAGAAATTTTCTTCAGATAGAAACTAGAAAAAAAATCCCCTTGAAACAACTTCTTTCGAATGAACATTGAAAACACGAAAGGAACGTCCTTTCAAAACTACATACGAACATTATACGGAAATTACTTTTTCCTCATTTAGTCTGTTCCCCAAATATTTGTTGTGGAATTGAAACGAATATCTTTCACAGAAAAACTACACAACCTGATAAATGAAAAAGTATTGATATAAAATTTCATTAACATGGACATCATGGTGTACTTCTCGATGTTACGGATTGAAAATACTGTTTTCCAACACCTTTCCCACCAAATGTGGGAAACTTTCGTTGGACGGAAGAAAGCAATTAATTTAAAAATAACCTCTTAACAAAGATGTATAGATCAAGTACCTACAGAAGTTTTTCAGATAAAGGAAAAGGGCTCCCTCAAGGAAATTATCATACGTTAAACGAAATCACTCTCATTCCTAACAGATTTCGTAATCTTCAAAAAAATATTATTTAATTTCTATTTCTTCTGATATTCATTCAAATACAGCATGTTTGTGAATTCGGCAAAGTTTACTTTTTTTTGTATCTGTAATTGTTTCATTTATCACAATTTCATTAGTTAAAGGCAATATAGACTGCTCAACGAGCAGTACGAGTCCGACTCTGTACAGATGGAAATCAGAAAGAACTGAATTTTCTTAAAACAAAATAATGGGCGCTGTGCCAGATTCAATTTATTAGTTTCATAAGCAAAAAAAAATAACAAGGAAACGTAACTTACCTCCATCATACGAATATTTTTCATAAGAACTGAAACACACACAGACAGAAGTTACAATACAAATGTTTTCTTCTATACTATCACTAATACTCGGGTTTGTTTGCTCTGTCAAAAGTTGAACAAATAAAAATATGAGATGAGAAACCACATGAAATGATACGTAACCATCAAGCAAGGTCGACGTTAAAAACAAATGACTTGTTTGAAGTGATTCTAGACGTAAACAATTTAAAAGCGAAGTTCTATAACAAGAGAATTCACCATTAGACCGTGAACTCAGCGAATGCAAAAAAAGCCACAGATGTGCTGAAAAATCGAGAATACACTTCTTGATCAAAGCAATGGTAAACTATAAAGCAAAGTAGAGCGTGATAAACAAATGAAATGGAATGTTTGACTGTGGTTGAATGATATAAATTTGTACATTGCATACAAAATACATTGCATAACAAATACTAGGGCCGAAATATTCAGATGAGTTAATTGAACGTAATATAAAAATATGATAATTGAATAATGAGTATGAGAGTAAGTATACAGTGCGGACGTAAACAGTCTCCTTCCTCTCAGCTTTTGAACGGAACAAGATATCAAGGTCAAAATTTACGTAAAATGGTATCACTTTTTAATACTTTTCGATACGAAAAACTATAATATTGCATTACTTGTCGTCGAAAGAGCGCTACCAACTTTATTTCAAATAGAAGGGGGTCTTGTGATAACTCGGTTGATAGGCATTTCAATTACCTATCTGTTCAACATTTTTCTGTTATTTTCAATCGAATTGGCCGTTACCAAGTAACTAGCAGTTATATATTCGTTTCAAGATATAAATCATATCAATAAATCTAGTTTAAAAAATTAAAAAACACGCTTTTGAAGAACATCGAACTAAAAAGTTTTTTAAATAAGCATAAAACAATAACGAACGACAAATACTAGTATTATTGTGAAAAAAGCGACGGGCGCTTGATATACAAAAAATATGACACAAAGCGCACACGCTTTTTTCCAATAATACTAGTATTTTTGGTTCGTTATTGTTTAAAGCTTATTCAAAAAAAATATATTAGTTCGATGTTCTTTGGAAGCGTGGTTTTTAAAGTATTTTTATTTCATCTAATCTTTGGGATCAATCAATCAATCAATATTGTTTAGAAAAATAACCATTGATATTTTCCGATACCGGAGAGGGAACCTGAAAATCAGCTACCAAGCCCGAGGCAGCAGGCGGGCAGAGGAGGGTTACAAATAAGGCAGCAGGCACGCGTGTTAATAAAAAAAATACTTTTTTCAAATGAAGAAATACATGTGAAGTGAGTAGGAATTATATCAAGGAGGTTACGTACAGCGCCATCTGCCCGCGAATAGATCAAGCAATAATGTCGATAATTCTGTCAAATACATATCCCGTCCTTGAGAATAACAAACAAACAAGCAAACATCCATCCATACATACAGGTAAAGCTAATAAAAGCGTGTTAAAATTAATTAAAAAGTACTAAAAAGGATACCTTTTTATCCGATCTTGACATCTTGTTCCGAGTAGGAGAAGGTTGACAGGAGGGGGCAATTTACGTCCACATTCTATAAGAACACTAATTCGTGGAGAAAATAAATCTTGGTTACTTGAAGTAAATGAATCAACGATATGGGTTAGAAGAAAAGTGTTTGAAATCAAGCTTCTCCACGACGTTTTGATATATCCACAATCGCTTCGAGTGAAGACCTATCCTGATGCTCCAGGAATACGTAGAGGTCAATTTGGCACTACCTTTTTCATGTTATTTTCAGGTTCACGCAATGCAGTCCGTTTTTAACCGGGTCTATTAAGCTTGCCCTCTTTGTTTGTTCCTTTGGGTCAAATTTATTTATTTATTTGATTGGCTAAGCCAATTCACAAAAACATATTCAACAAAGTGTGAGGAACTGCAAAGTATTTGTTTGAAGGTAGTTGACAATGTTTCGTGGTGCATTTCATTAGTTCGGACTTCCATTGTCTACTATGATATAAATTGATTTGAAATACCTGAAAGAATCTGTAAAAAAATTAAAAAAGATTTGCTGAAAAATACCAATTATATTAGGCAGAAAAAGTGCAATTACAATGAAATAAAAAACAACCAAAAAATAAAAAAATTGAACTATTAACACAAGATCAAAATTTTTTTAAATCAATTTATATCATATTAGGCAATGGATTTCCAAACTAATGAAATGCACTACAAAGTATTTTTGAATGTTCATGTCTGATGTCTACATTACAATTTACAATTTTACAAAACATTTAGCGAAATGTGAAATACAAAATGTTAATGAATCCTTATGTCTAGTGACTATATTACTAAAAGATGAAACAATTCCGGTACTTACAAGGAAAAAGATGTAACAAATCTGGTACTTATAAAGAAAATGGTAAGGTAAAAGAAAAACTTCGAAAACGTTATAGCCCAACGGTCGGCAACAGGCGGACCGCGAAAGGTCGAACCTCGGACCGCCAAATATTGTAATGTGTTATATACCAAGTATAAATTAATATGTAGATAAGGTATATCATACTTTTATCAATTGAAGTAATATTTTTAAGCCACATAGAATTCAAATTAGAATGTACTCATTTTATTACAAGTTGCCTAGTCAATCAGTTTTACAAGTACCTATACCACTGGTATTGTTTTATTAGTTTCCTATCCATCCTGTTTGTGTTTGTGTTTGTGCGCGCTTGTGACTATTTTGTTTTGTTGAAACAAGCGCGAGCGAGTATTGAAATCGGGGGTGCGGGCGTGTGAGCGGGAGAAAGCAGACTCATTCATTTGTTTTGTGATTTTTTTGCGTTTTCATGATATTTTCGTACCTATGCTAATATGGATCCTAAATAGCGTAAAGTGGACAGTGAAAATATGAGGTTTCTGGCAGAATGGACTGAACAATATTGTTTTACGCTGCCTGATAGGCCTCAAGCGGTCCCAGTGTGCCTTATATGCAATTAATCTTTCACTATTTTTAAAAGTAGTAATTTGAAGCAATACTATGAAACTACTCATTAGCAATTTCACCTTCCTCTTGGCAGTGAGACTCGTAAAGAAAAACTTTATGCATATCTCCGTTCTTACAAAAAAAACACGAAATTACTAGTTCGTTACATGAGCGAGCAAGAAAAATCCACAGAAGCAACGTTTCGTGTGTACTGAACGCTTAATAAACACCAAAAACCATTTTCAGATTGTGAGATGTTGAAGGAACGTAGGTATGTTGGAAGTAGTCACGATACTTTTTGGAGAAAAAAAAGATGTCGCTGCATTTCAAAGTATTCCATTGTCAGCGAGAAGTAATACACAAACTATAATACACGAAAAACAGAAATTTTGGCTGCTGATTAATATGATTAAAAACACTCTTCTTGAACTCTAGCAAAAGGCACCTTGCCACTACATAGCACTTGATGAATCAAGTGACATTTTTGATGATGAACAAATATCAATTTTCATAGGATTTCTTGATATTGAGTGTCAGATTTTTAGAGAAGAGTTGCTAGGAATATTGCCGTTGGAAGGTAACACTCGAGGAGAAGATTTATTCAAAATCATTGATGAGATTACTAAATCTAACTTTAGTTATGATAAAATGGTGTCGCTTTCAACTAACGGGGTCCCAGCAATGATTGGCAAATAAAAAGGTGTAGTAAAGAGAATCAGGGATACAAACTCGGGTATAATATCGTATCAGTGTACAATTCACTAAGCAGTCCTTTGTGGAAAGCTTAGTGCTACACTGAAAGAAGTGATGGACAGCTTGGTTCAGTTGATTAATTTTAAGAGGTCTCATTCGGCGTATTCTGACTCTCTGCAACACAACAATGTTCGTTGGCTAAGCAAAGGTCAAGTTATTGAATGTTTCTGGCTGATAAAAGAATAAGTAACTTCCTTCTTGCAAAACTCAGATACGGAGGGAGCCAGAAAGCACTTTGAGTTCATAACAAATAAGCGTAATATGCTGGTCGCGGCTTTTCTAAAAGATATTTTGAAATATTTAAATGCGCTCAACACAGAATTACAAGAAAATGGAAAATTAATATGTGATCTGATATAAAGCGTGTCTGCTTTTCATCGCAAGCTGGATATCTTTGAAAAAGATATTTAAAGACAAGAATTTATTCATTTTCCGACAATTCTTGAATATAAAGAGAACTCTGAAGAAGACATTGCAGTATTTATAAAATTTCTGGCCGATCTTAGAAACGAATTTGCTACAAGACTTTGCAGAGAAAGACAAGCTATCCGTTTCTTAAATCGCTATTTAAAGTCGATGTAGCGGCATGATGGACAGATTTGGCTGCCAAGTTGTTCAATCTGTCAAAGGCATCACTTTCAAATAGAGGTAATTGATTTGCAAGAAGATGTGTCTTTGCAATGTATAAAACGGTATCCACTGAAGAATTTTGGGCCAAACATGTCCCAGAAAAATATAAAAATTGCAGGAAACTAGCTGTAAATTTGGCCACTATGTTTGGCGCGACATACGTATGTGAAACATCGCAAAGATGAAGTTTTTGAAAAACAAATATCGTTCAAGATTAACGCCCACCTAGAAGACATACTTTTAATTTGCTATTTCTCTTGAGAACCAAACCATAAAAAACTGGCCTCAAGACCACGTCAAAATTTTCCCTCATTATCCGGACCCCACCTAAAACTACTTGCCGACCCCTACTATAGCTTTTTCAATTGATTTTTAAAGACCTGAAGTGATACATTAAACAGATCTATGTTATTATGATAATGATTTCCCAGATTTAGAATACTAGGAATCGGAGTGTTCAAAGCATAATTGGTATGGAAAAAATGTATATGAAAAATGTCGGGATTTCTCGTATCTTTTTGTTTGATATGAAAAGTTATTAGTTGAAGTAGTTCTGGGCAGTTTATCTGTCTGTTTGTTCAAAATCTGTTTCAAAGCAGTTTTCCGTTAACCAGCTGTCGCACCCCTACGAACGACAACCCTCAGAAGTCGAAACTTGTGCGAGCTAAGGATTAACGAGGTCTTATCTTTTAACGTGTGAATCCTAACACGGCCGTTTATCTAACTATTCATTAATTTGAACAGAAAACTCTTTGCTCACAGAAATTCTCCTATCTTCCAAAGATTTTATATTTAACTTGGTTAATAGTTGACTGTACTCATGTTCATTTCGTTAAATACCAAAGTGAACAGCACAATTCCTCAAGAATTTCTTTTGAACATTCTCAATCAAATCGATATTTACATTATAGTATGGGTCCCATATAACCGAACAATATTCAAGAATGGATCTTACGAAAGCACAATATAAAATATGTTTTGTTTTAATTGAAAAATCAGTGGAAATTCTCAACACAAAACCTGGCATTTCGAGACTTTTTGCCACAATTTCTGATACTTGAAGATTGAAATTAATTTCGCTATCAAATTCAACTCCCAGATCGCGAATAAATGTTCCTCTTTCAAGAGATATATTATTCAATGTATATTCAAAGAATATTGGATTTCTAATTTCACCGCACATAATGAGTTGACACTTATCGATGTTTACCTCTAATAAATTATTTCTATACCACATGGAAAAGGCTTCGAGATCTTTTTGAAATAATTCAGCCTCTTCCCAGCAAGTAATTACTTTATAAAGTTTGAGATCATCCTCAAACAAAAAAAATTCTGAATATTTGAAAACAAACTCTATATCCGATACAAACAAGTTGAACATCAGTTGGCCCATATGGGATCCCTGCGGTACTCGTGATGGAACCTGAATGGGAGTAGACGTTGTATCTCCGCATTTTACAGACAGAGTTATACCAGTTAAGAAGCTATTGATTACTTGCAAAACGTATTCTAAAAACACTTTATTGTGTGATTTTCACTAGACAGTTTTACAAAAACGCAACACGTGTTTTGCCATACTATGGTTTCCTCGGGCTTGTCTTAAGACACGCTGTTTTTGTAAAACTATCTAGTGAAAATCACACAATAAAGTGTTTTTAGAATACGTTAGTTATGGATTTTCGTCAAGTATCGGCCGATTCCATCATATACTTGGAAAACATTCCCGCCTATACCAAGATATAAGTAGGCCGTGGTTGACTCTATCAAAGGTTTTGGAAAAGTCAGTATAGACAGAGTCAACCTATATCCTCCTTTAGAGATTTTCAGTAAGGTAGTTTGTGTAAAGGGCAAGGTTTGTACAAGTGGATTTCCCTTCTGAGAAGCCGTGTTGTTGGGAATTGAGTAAAGACCTACAGTCCCAGGGAAGTTTCTTTGTAAACATAGAATCAAACATCTAAGCCATCTCTGACTGATTGCAAACTGCTTTATAATTCCTAATATTTTTCTGATCTCCTAGTTTATGTATTGGTTTCAGGAAGCTATGTTTCCAATTATCTGAAAAGGTGCCTAGAGAAAAAATTTGATTGAAGATGTTTCGTAATGAGATTGCTAAAGTGTAGAGACATTTGTATATAAAAATAAAGGTATTCCTTCAGGTCCCATTGTGAGCTTAGGTGAAACAGAGAGAACGTAATCTATTATAGCCGTAGCAGTAACACTGTAATTGTTGATATAGACTTTGTTTCCAATTATATTCAGGGGTAAAAATTCACTGTCTGGTTATTATATAGAATTGAAAAAAAAGGCAAACAAATTGACAATCTCAGAATTTAGTAATTGAAGTTTGGCTCCCTATGGTACATACATTCAGTTTGGAGTTTTGAAACTCCAGAAACCACCAAAAGATGGCAAATGAGACTTTGTCTCATATATATTCATTATTCATTCATCCATTCACCATTCACGAATATATAGAGCTGAAAATTTCGAAAATGCGCACACTACATTTGATAACCAATCTCTTGTGCAAGAGTCTTTTCCCAATGAATTTGAAAAAGCCTAAGTAATTCCTTTTTCAGACAGAAAAACTAAAGCATTTCTCAAGTAGTTGGTTTAAACCCATTTTGGAGATCTCCGAGTTTGATTTTAAACAACCCTGACCCACGTACCCACGACACAATGCAGGGAAGGTGAATTTGAGATAGTGTCTTGGGTTTGACCTTGAACGACCTCGATTCACGCCCCCTTTTTTTGGACAAGATGAAATTGATCCGAATGAAGTTGAGCAGGTCACGCGGTTTTCTTGAAGTTTTGACGATTCGACCTTAAACGACCTTCAGTGTGTGGACGATGAGGCTTTTGAAGTGCGTTTCTTGTTCGACTTTGAGTGACTTTCTGCAATATCACATGCCTTTTCTGAAGTGAATTCGAGAACGCATATGCAATCTATTTTCCTCTATGTTTCAATATCGTAAACAATATTCTTGTTCATTTTCACTGTTACTGGATTCGTAAGTTTTCGTGAATACTTGAGTTTCTTCGTGAAACGAATATGGTATTCCTCTAAAAAATCATGGTAGAATCGGATTGATTAAATGATCAAATGGAAAACACTGTTCACAGAGCCTAAAAAATCTGGTGAAATAAGGGATGAAGCTGAACGAATTCCTAAACTACCTCTACTCACAGGCAATGTTGCTTGATTCCAAATATTGTTACATAAATGATGTATCCCGTATCGGTTGTTTGAATTTCCAATTCACCATACCATGTTGGAGCACATCTTAATATATCACTTGATAAAGCTACTGTGTTAGCAAAACATGTTGTGAAATATATTTTTCGAATAAAGTTTGTGGAGAACAAATCGTAAGGTGTAGTTTATGAAATTACTATGGAATTTCATCAATTAACGGCCGAATCAATCAAAAAACTTTTAGTATACTTATAAGAACTCACATAAGTTTTGGATTCTTCAATAAAGAAAAATGCAACTTGAGCTGGGCATATGTCATTCAGATAAGATTTTCAATTCAGGTGGAGATAGTTTCTTGATTAAAAGGTGCTCCTGAAACATTTTGGAAATAGGTTCATTCCAAAAAAAATCCTATTGAATTTTTCGAAAATAACTTCTTTTGGATCAAAAACAATATTCCCCGATGGAATTGTAGTAGCCTCGAAAATGTTCTGCTCATGTCTTCGAATTATTCTTCGTGCTTACGTCTTTTAGCGTGTGGTCCATTGGCAATCTTTCTTTTCATGTTTCTTTCAACTCGATGTTCAGCTTCTGATTTCAAAATGTGCTCCGACAATTTTTATTGTGTTATTTTCAAATTGGGAAATTCCTTAGAAAAGTCGATTGAAAATTTTTTCATATAAGTTCATGCAGGCAGAAATATTGGAAAAAACTATACACAGTAATTTTGCTATGCTCCCTTGGAACTCAAATAATTGAAATTTGAGTGGCAGTAGTATTTACGTAATTCCCAGGGCTGCGGATATACTTTCCTGATTTTTGGCTTTTTTTCTCGGATCTTGCAACCAGTGTTACCAATAAGGCGCGAAATGTGCGAATTATCATTATTTTTGTGCATTAGGTACTTGCACTTTTTAGTTTTTGCGAATTTTGCACCCCGTCATTTTGCTTGAAGTGTGTCAGACCCTGTGTAATCATTTACCACACTATGCATGCTATTTACAAGCTTTATTTACATACTTATTTGTAATGATATATAGGAATAATCTTGTATTTTACAGTTTTTTCATTTTCATGCACAACGTGTCTAGTTTCAGCCAAACAAAGCCAACATCTCTGTTCTTCCGTCAGTGTCAACTGTCATTTCATAATACATGTTTTGCTTTAGTTGCTGAGGCCATTGAATCGAAAAGAAGCAGAAGTACATGTTTTAGCGACACCACTAACAACCGGAAAGTACTATGTACATATACTACAGACCCAATACAATTCAGTAGTACACTTTACGCTTTTTTCTGCAAATAAACAATCAAAACATTTCTATCATAACCACTAGTATTGTCAAGAAGGTGCAAAACACGCAAAGTTTTCGTATTTTCAATGTTTTCGAGCAGTATTTCCGCTTACTGGCTTTGACGGTTTTTTTTTTGCACATTTCACACCCTGCTATTTCGTTTCAGCAGATCAGTTTCACCTCAGGAGTATCTCAGGCCCATTATTACTATTAGATAATTTGTTTATTTATATAATTTTTTCGTAAAATTTTAAATTCAGAAGTCTCTTTTGGGGTTATGGTATGAGTCCATATTCTACCAATTTATATTTGGCGCTTTCCGGTCAGATTTTGCGCATTTTGGCATAAACCTCGCACAAAACAACCTTATATGTGGGAACACTGATCGGATGACAGATGATTAACACTGAACTCTTAAATGTTCTAAACTGACAAATGAAAGAAATATAAAAATACTGTAAGTAGTGATCAGTGTGACCCTGAATTTGCACTGAAAAAATTTGACCGTTTTGTGGAGAATCGGTTTTGGATGTCGGATCTTTCCAAGAAAAAAATTACTTGTTGAACAAATTTTTTATGATTGATTTTGGTTGATTATAAATAAAAGAATTGCCCCTATGAGTATTATGTGGCACGAAGCTAGGAGGCAGGAAAGGAAGATTCGTGGAATGCTCGTTGATTATAGGAGAAGAGCTGAAAGGCGACGAGATTTCTATGAAAGAATTGTAGGTTATTATGTAGTTTTTTGTTATTGGGGCAATGGAAAAATCAGAAAAACAAAATGGACATAATGAAAGAGGTTGTGAAGATTGCTAATACTTATGTTTTAGAAAGCAGATCCCACACAGTTCCTGCAGGTACATGGAAGGAGATGTAAAATTCATCTTGATCCCAGTGTTGCTGCAGCTGCGGACAGTGCTGTGATGATGCCTTGGCAGGGTCAATCAGATATCCTTATCGATCGATTTGATGTTAGGGCTCACTTGGATTATATTTCTCCTGTCGGAAAGCAAGATGAAGAAGAACTTACCCAAGAAGATAGACAAATCAATTACGAAAGATACAGAATTATTGCTCAGAATTCATTCCTGGGTTTGACTGAGGAAAAGTTTCTCAAACAGTTACATCTTGAGGAGCAGTATGGGTATACTGAGATGAAAACAAGGAAAGAATCAAGAACAGGCGGAGCTGCCATTGGATTTAATTACGAAGACGGGACAGGTAAAATGAGGAATGGATTAATTTAGTCTAGTTGAAGGAGTATCATTTTCAAATAAATTCTATCAGTTGAATTGCTGTAAAAGTTGACTAGTGTTTTTGTTATATAATGAATATTTCATTCAAATTTGGTATATTTTCAGGAAAACTTCAAATTTCACTTATTCCTCCTGTACACATAAAAGTTATTATAGGTTGTTCGAAAATTTCAGACTAAATTGTTATAAAAGACAGTGTGCAGCCGTTTAATGGATTTCCTTAATAATTGTTTAATAATTAATAACATTCATCATGAATATATCTAGGATAAAGGAGAAACCACCATTTTGTAATTTGCCAAAAAAAATCTAAATACATTTGAGAATAGCCAAATATTTTTTGGCATTTTCTTAGATTTATCTAAAGTGTGTGACTATATCAATCGTAGATATCTACTTAAAAACTCCTAGAATTGCATTTGCATCATACCTAACAAATTGACAACCAAAAGTAAGAATTATAATTGATGGAAAAACAGGTAAATTGGTTAATGCTTTTGCAGCCAAGATTTTCAGTGTTACGATCTTCGTTAGGGTTTGAAGACCATTGTGGTTTGGAACTGTATCCTAACGTAGCGATGATAAGTCCAGTCAGCCCAGTGATAGCCAACTTCTTCATGGAGAAATTGAGAAGAAGGCAATCAACGCTTTTGATTTCAAACCAATCATTTGGCAACGATACGTGGATGACACCTTTGTTATCTGGAGACATGGGAGGGACAGACTGAACCTATTTCTAGATCACATAAATGCTCAACACCCTAGCATCAAGTTTACCATGGAGACGGAACAGAAACAACAAATAGCTTTTCTAGATGTACTCGTCGAAAGGCGTGGCACAAGACTGACACATAAAGTGTGCCAAAAACCGACACACACCGACAGATATCTGCATGCACGTTCGAACCATGACCCAAGGGAGGAAAGTGAAATGGTTGCACATGTGTTTCTACCGTACATCCCTAAGGTTACAGATAGAATCGGAAAAATTCTAAGGAAGCATTAACATAAAACCAGTGTTCAAGCCCACCAGGAAAATACAGCAAAGCCTAAGATATGCAAAAGACAAAAGAGATCCACTATCAGCTGCGGGGGTATACCGTATACCATGCACCTGCGGAAAAGTTTATATCGGTACCACCAAAAGATCCATGGGTACAAGGCTGACTGAACATTGGAGAAACTGTAAGATTAGGTCAAATAGAAAAATCGGCAGTAGCGGAACACGCGTTTAGTGAAGGAGATCATTAAATACTGTTTTAAGATGTGAAACTACTTGCACCCGATCAAGGATATCACAGTCGGCTTGTACGGGAAGTCTTAGAAATCCATAAACATGCAGAAAACTACAATAGAAAAGAGGAGGCGATAACGCTTAACCGGATTTGGAATCCTATACTAAAAGATGCTAAGGTGGCAGCAGTGCATCGCAATATAACAGGTAATAACACTTCGGGCAAAGATGTTAAGGTGGCAGCAGTGCAACGCAATGTAACAGGTAATAACACTTTGGACAAAGATGCTAAAGTGGCAGCAGTGCAACGCAATGTAACAGGTAATAACACTTCGGCCAAAAACAACGCACCAAATAGAAAGGTGGGCTACCTGTGTCAACAGCTTATGAACTAGAAATCACTAGTCATCGGTGAACCATCAGGATGAATAGACCTCTGAAGAAGCCAGCCACTCGTGCTGGCGAAACGTTAGGATACAGTTCCAAACCACGACGGCTTTCATACCCGAACGAAGATCGTAACACTGTTGGAAAAACAGTTGAATCAGATGAAAAAAAAATATTGGTGTTCACTAAGGTAATATACTGGTTCTAATCTATTAGATTTAGCTCAATTAGCAAGTTATTTCTCAAGTGAAGTAAATAACTGGTTCACAAAAAGTAATCTCAAACTTACTCAGCAAGTAAATGAAAATAGAAAAAACACTAAAATTTCTGTACCTAAGTGTTTGTAGATGAACATATGCAGTAAAACAGATTGAAAACTTAGCAAAAATGAAATAGTATATATTATAGTTCAAGAATAGCAAGTAAATAGCTGAATGAGAAGTCAATGAAATAAAAATTAAATACTTTGAGAATTTAGAATCATCACTAAGATTTGTGATAGTTCTATACTCCAAACAGTAAAATGATTCACTAGAAATGAAAGCAATGTTGTCAAAGAGTAAAACGGTAAAAACTGACCCCAATATCACAACTGGGGGTACACAATCTATTATTGCCCATGATCGAAAAAGACTTGTTTAAATTGAAACAGGGCATTTTTTTATGAAGATGTAGACAAAAAGACTTGTTTACCTCCTAAATGGTTTTTCTTTTATATTTACCTTTCAAAATTATATCACAGACATTTTGCAACAGATTCGAAATTTTCAAAAACCAAAAGATGACAATGTAATTGTCACTCGAATTTTGGAGAAAGCTAACTATTTCACTTCCAACTTATTATCTAACTGATGGTGAAGTGAATTATATTTCTGGCCACTAACATCATGCATGGCAAACCACGGTTACTTCCCAAGAGGTATTTGATTTGGCTGCAGTTGGTTGACTTCTTTCACCTTCAATGCTTGCCATGAGAACTGTGAAGTTATCCTAGTTCCAAATTATTGACATTACGAAAACCTCAATCTAAGATGAATACATCACCATCTTTCCATCTTGTTCCAAATCCGATTTTAGGATTTGAGCATCATTGAGATTAGCAATGGTAATGAAGTAATTTTCTGTGATGCCATCCTTTGGACTACGGTAAGGGCTGTCCCAGATCAAGGATTTGGAGGAACCTACCCTTCTTGATTCAATTTTTTATTTATATTATTTCAAATGTTGTTCTGATAGGGGGAAATTCTAACCAGTCTGGCTACGTTTGGGCATTCTGCTGAACGAGGATTGCCTGCGATACACCAAGATGCCTAGAATAAAAAAATAACTAAAATTCACAGAAATAACTGATTGATTGGTTCAATTTTCTCAATCAACTGCTTATTTTGGATTTTGAAGCATTCAAGGGATGAAAAATGATGTTCTCAATTTTTTTCACCGTTTTTCACCGCGGTGTATTGAACAAAAAATCTGAAAAATCTATAAAAATAGTCGATAAGAAATATGTTTTCTGAATTTTCTCAAGATTGTTTTCATCTTGAATTTTTCGATATTCCAGCGAAGAAAATTGATGAAAACACTAAAAAATTTAGTTTTCTTTTTCTTATGAAGATGCCTCTACTTTGAAAAATCTGAAAAAATTCACAGTAATGAATGATAAAAAAGTTTATTTTTTCAATTTTTTTTTCGCCAAGTGTTCATATCCGATTTTGACTTGATTGAAAAATGTCTGAGATATGATTTTTTCCAAAAATAAGGTGAAAATATAGGGAAAAAAAGTATTTCAGCCCCATGACTTCCTGGACGTCTAGAAATTTACACAGAGGCGCCTTTGTGTGATATTGTTGTTATCGTGTTACACAGCTATACACTTCGTATGGCTATCAAAAAGATAAGGAACGCCAGCTTTTTTTTCCTTTGAAATGTGACTTCCACAATTAATTCTATGTTTGTAGCTTATGTGGTAGTACATGTAATTTACTGGAACCGATATGTTCTGACAAATGGCTTAGAAAAATATACAGGGTTCATTTAAAATTCTTGACCTGAGTTCACTTTTCGTTAAACAGAAAAAGATGTTCAAGTTGTTTTAATGGTGAAGATTGCCAGATTCAGCGAACTATATCTTTATTTCAAATAAAAAATTGTGTAATGTATAATTTTTCATCACCTGTACAAGTTGAAATATCAATAAAAGGTTGAAATATTAATATGGTGAAAGAGGAATATATTTGGAATGTATATTAAAATGTTTCAGGAACCACTGTCCCTGCAAACCCTGATGAAGAAGAATCTGACGAAAACAATTCTGATAGTGACCTTGATGTGGATCTTGCAATTAATGTTTCAAAAATGGAGCCTGCACAAGCTCATGAAATGAATAAGCATGGTCGCAACTACGGGATGAGTTCTAATGATTTTTATTCTTTCTTAACTAATGATTTAGAGGAGGCAGAAGCTGTGCGATTAGCTAGGGAAGAAGAACAGGAGAAGGCTTTATTTTCTGGAAGAAAATCTAGGAGAGAAAGACGGTATAATTTATTGCATAATATACAAATTCATTTCATTTCAATTTTTGATAGGAATATTGTTTGCTGAACAATTGCATTTGAACAATATTTTGGATTGTTAATGATGATTTTCTTTTATGTATTTCATATTTGTAGGTATCACAGGGAAAAAAGACTTGCAAATAGGGTTATCAGTCCTCCAAGTTATGCTGCTAAAGCTTCCCCAACTCTACCTAACTTTCGTGACAGCAAATCAAAATCACATTCCAGATCTCCATCCCCTGAGAATTCTGGAAAAATCACATACATCACTTCTTTTGGAGGTATTATTTTTCTCTCAGATATGCATTTGGTACAATGTGATCTTCATTGGAATGTTATTTTATGATCTTGCAAATCGATTAAATGAACATATTCAAGTTTCCAATTCTATGAGATATACTGAGACATGAAATTATTGATATAAATGTTATGACAAACATCAATTGAAATATTTCAGATGACGAAGATGTTCCTTCGAGTAGTAAAGAAACATATGCAGACAAAGTTAAGTACGGTAAGCCAAAAACCAAAATCCAGATGAATGAGAGATCATCTCACTTAGAAAACAAGAATAAATCCAGAAGCAGAGAACGATCATATGGCTCAAAAAGGAAGAGATCTAGATCAGTTAGTAGAAGTAAATCAAAATCTTTGAACAGTAGATCCACTACTAGAAAAAGTAGAAGTAGGTCAAAATCTAGAAGGAGTTCAAGCAAAAGAAGGAGTAGAAGCAGGTCCAGAGCTCGTAGGAGTTTGTCAAGGTCTAAGAGAAGCAGAAGCTGGTCTAGAAATAGGAAAAGTAGAAGTAGATCTAGGACCAGAAGAAGCAGAAGTAGATCAAAAATTAGGCGAAACAGAAGTAAAACTAGGTCGAATAGAAGCCGAAGCAAATCAAGTTCAAGAAGTAGATCCAGAAAAAGCAGAAGTAGATCTAGAGACAGGTGAATCTGCATTCCAATGAAAAATTTGAATTGCACTTAATACATTTCGGAATTTTTGATGAAATTGATTAAAAAGTGAAGTATCCACTTACTGTACCTGAATATAATCTTGGAAACAACAGAGTAAGAGAAATCGATGTAGATAATAATTTGATTTTATTTTCTTATTATTTCATCCTACAAATTCATAAATATATAAGTTTTTCTTCTAAAAGAAAATTGAAAATTTGCACGAAGTATTCATCCAAAGGCCTGCTTTTATTCGTTGTCTGGACTGTTTCAGACAGTCAGAAAACATTCACCCAACTGAATATAGAAAATGATGTTGCTAAAATATTTTCAGTAATAATAATAATATAATTTATTCATCAATCAAAGATTATACAAGACATCATGCATACACACATGAATAAAACTTTTCAGATTTTTCAAAGAAAAGGTAATCTTCAAATAAATTGTTGAGATAGTGCATAGTCGCGAAACAAAACAAAAAAAATTATACATATATTAGTCAGTTTCACGATACTAAGGTATCAAGAAATATAAAATTCTTCAACATTATAAAATACTTCTTCAAGAAGAAAATTCCCCAATTTATTATTGAATCAAATGTTTAGATTCACATCTATTATATCTCTAACAATGTCCTCTCTCTTATAAAACAAAATGTAGGGTGTCTCCAGAGGCTCCAATAAATTCAATGCATCGCCAGATACATTGAAGATCAAGATCTTCAGCAAATGCGCCTCTGGAATCAATGAAGTCGCCCCAGAGCGCCAATTAATTTCTATTGTTGTTTTTATTTTATTTTTATTGTTGTTTTATTATTGCTGTTGCAATTATTAATGAAGATGTTGACAGTTTTTCGAGTTTTTAAATCTCGCACAACTTAAAACTGAACTCTAAAAAAAATCCCAGCTGTTACTGATACGAGGGTTGCCTTTTATGTTTCGGGATTTGGCAACCCTAGTGTTGCAATCTGGCAACTGACAGCTCTATCGTAAAGTTGGACATTTTTGAGCTTATACATACTCAGAACGTTTTGACATACCCGCGCTATTTGTGTTGTTTACAGTAACTTGAAAGATTTATCTCTGCCCAAAAGTGGAATTAAATCGTGAACATTTTCATGCGATTATTTTTTACAACTTTCGACGTAAATTAACTCAGCAACAGTGCATGAATGAACTTAATTTTTGGCGATGAAGGACCAGTGTTTATCGATGGTATGGTGAATTCAATCCTGGTCGTAGTTCACTCCAAGACGAATTTCGTGAAGGTCGTCCAAAATAAGTTGTTGTTCTGAAAACCATTGATGCCGTGCGCAAACCTATCAAACATGATAGGTCATGTGACCTATCGTGAGATTGAGACAACCTTAGGCTTTAGTGGGACCAGCATACATTCAATATTGCATAAACATTTGACTGCAAATTTGTTCGCTTTGGATCCCAGAAAATTTGTGGGTGTTTCAAGATGAACCAAAAATCCAACAAAAGTTGTTAGCGCACGAAGCACTTCCACGCAAATGGTCGCCTGTTTTTTCGGAAAAACTGGAACCACTACCACTAGAACAACGCAGAACAGTCAATTCTGAGTGGTACACAACCATTATTTTGCCAGTTGTCTTCCAAGACATAAGGAAAACCAACCGTCAAAGATGGATCACTCTTCACCATGACAATGCAAGCTCTCACACATCGACTCAAACAACTGCATTTTTGAGCACCGAAACATTGATTTGATGAGTCATCCGCCGTATAGTCCTGACTTGGCACCGAATGACTTCTTTTTATTCCCGCACGTAAAAAACAAACTGAAAGGTCAACGTTTTTTGACACCTGAAGAAGCGGTTGCTGCATTCAGAATGTATGTTTTGGAGATACCTCAGAGTGGCAAAAGTGCTTCGACAATTGATTCAAACGCATGCAAAAGTGTATAGATCTTCATGGGGAATATTTTGAAAAACAATAAAGTGATTTTTGATTATTAACATTTGTTTTTGTTGTCTAATCCCGAAATATAAAAGGCAACCCTCGTAGATACTAAATGTAAAAGGGCTGAATTAATAAACAAAATTGATGTCTGAATTGGATGTGATAAAATTCATGTAATTAATGAATGTAAAAATCTTAGTCTGTGGTTAGACTCGGACCTTAGATTTAATAAACATGTTAGTACTCTATGTCAAGGCTCCAACTACATTTTACGACATCTGTACCAGAACTGATATTATGACTCCCCAACTAAAACTGTGAAGCTCTCATTCTATCCAGAGTCTTACACTGTGACATCATTAATGGACCTGCATTGATTCTATCTGATTCTGATTCTATTCTCTTAGCAACTTCATTCGTGGACACACTGTATTGTTTTTTATATAATTAATATAATTCAATTATTATTTGTGAATATAGTTTTTGATTACTAGCAATACACTTGAAATTAATTTTTTCTCATCCATTTAATATAATTTCCGTACTCCACTGCAAGAGACAGATTAAGGCAAAAATGTCAGTCATTTCTGAAAATTTAATGCCTACTATTTTGGAATTATATTATAGAGTTGAAATTTAGAAAATTGATTTATCGAACTCAATACCTTATTTCTAATTTATTAGGACTGGAAGATCTCTACCAAGAAACATAGGAAAGTCTTTTAGGAGACGTCACTCAACATCTTCCTCTTCTTCAGCTTCAAGTAGAAGTCGATCAAGGTCACATTCTGAACAACAAAACAAAGATACTGTCCTGCCGATACCAAAAGAATCTCCTGAAAAAGATTTGCCAAACGTATCAGAATCAGTGAAAGTTATACCGAGATATTACGGTAGAAAGAAGAGTGATCAAAGTTCTTCAGAAATCAGTGATTCGGATGATAAAAGTGACGTTGAGATGAAACCGGCCTCTAATCCGTAAGTATGACTTTGGAGGTTATTAAAAACTTGAAACTTATCAATTTCAAATGAAGGACAAAACCTTTCAAGAAAGGAAAACATTTGATAATATAATCAATAAACAAACATTGTTAAAATATGAAGATAGAAAAATAATTTTCATCATTATATAAATGATAATCTATTGGAACAGATCACACTTTCAATCCCTTATGAAGAAATGTTTGTGGATGTAGTATTCTTGAAATAAGTGTAGCTTTGTAAAGAAATGCTAACTGACTAGGCAAATGTTGTTTTGTAACATTCGATAAATTATTATATATTTTCACCTCAGAACTTGCAATTGAAAATGCTGGCTTCGACGTTTATCATTAATTTTTTTAATGACTAATCGCGAGCGGTTGCACAGCCGTGGTGGATTCAAATTACAGAGCGATCCAACCTTCAGTTGTAAATTATGCGGCGGCATTCCTGGAAAATCCAATTCAATGAGTTCAAAAACTCTGTACCCTGTTGGATAAATCACAGCTTCGGGGGCATCGCAGACTGTATCTATGCTCAATAGATAAACAATAATAGTGGCCAAAAACTGTGTAGGGAGTGAGAGAAGACTTATTGCGTGAGGGAGACAAAAGACCGACTTCGTTCTCATCCCTACTCCGTTCTGTTTATTGAGTGAGAAGTGACACCGGTAGGCACCTGGCGGGAGTTACTAATCTAAGATCAGCATTAAAAACGATTGAATGTATGAAAAATAGATTGAAACCTATTCTCAGATCTACCGAATATACATATGAAATTTCATGAAAATCGGTCAGGCTGTTTCCAAGGACTATGGCAACTAACACTGTGACACGAGAATTCACCTTTTTTGTTTACTTTTGGATGCTCATAACACACTTTATCTACAATATTGTATTGAATCTGTTGTTGAGTCGACCTTCATCAATATAAGGTCTCTTTCAGCCAATTTGGCTATGGTTATATTGGCTATATTTATTTGCTTGTATTTTAATATTTGCAGATCCGCACCTAAATGCCAAAGATCATAACTTAAATAGTTTCCAAAATATTATGATAATTTTTTTCATGAATTTCCCAAAAGAATTTTTGTTCATGAAAGTTGTACCACTTTCTAAGTGCAATAGTCAAATTGCATATTTTTTCATCGTTTACCAGTAAGGTTAAAAACTATAAATTCTATCCAGGAGTTGAAGTACCCTTATTTTTTCATATATCGAAAATTTTCACTGACTTTTTTTGTAGATACAAGCTATACTCATATTTGCAACTGGTGCTATCTACACTAGGAACAATGTTTTTTTTCTTTGTAGATAGGTACTCCATTACTCAAAATTGTGGAACTTTTTGAAATGAGTACCATTATCTTAAATTATGTGAAATTAAATCGTTAATGTATGACCTCTATTTATTGTTTATAAACAACTGTACAGAACTGTAAAATCAAAGCTGTCATAATGTTAGGTTATCACCACTATCCAGGATGAATTCATCTTTAGAATTTACTTTTTCCATCCTCGTTGATCATCTATAATACCGGGAGAAATTCATGAAGCGTTATTCATTTCTGTGAATTGATCTAGAGAAATTCTTTCTGCCAGGACTGTTATCACAACAATACGTTACCAGCACACAAGTCATATCAGCTCATATGATTCTTGGCTTACTTATTTATAAAGTTTGTACATTTTATTTATTGTATCATATCATTTTCGTTGGGCCATCCCCAAATCATTGCTAATTGATATAGCATTTGGTGTGCTGTTGTTGAAAACGATTCAATTGATCCTCATTTATTTTGGGACAATATGAATTGACAAATGAAATATTTTTACATTTTATGTTTGTCATTTGAGTTAGAATAATATTATATCGATTCAATTTTTCAAGTAACGAAAAAGATCATCTCAGGTTTCAGCTGGATGAAGTCTCATGTTATGGCACCCAGAAGTTTTAGAACGATATGTTTATGAAAATGAATTGAGAAATCCCTAGCAAACCAAATCGCCAGATCTTACTTCTTCAGATTTTTTGAAAACATTGAAACTAGAGTTTATCGAAATATATTATGAGCATTTCTAATTCACATGACTCATAGATAGTGTTACTTCATTTCAAAGTTTTGTTTCCTTCACAAAAACCAATTGTTTTTCTTGGGTGTCAACAGCATTGATTGCTTGGTCATTAGTCCTATGTTCTGGGTAGGCAATGTTATTAACTCCTTGAGCCACTCAGGGATCATCATGGCTCTTTGCAGTCTGTCGGCCATGTGACATAGCAGAATCATCCCAACTTCAACAAAAAAATTTCTTGTCTAGGTTGGGATTGAACTCACAGCCTTTGGAAGGTGAGTCGAGTGCATTACTATGGCGCCAATTCACCGCTCAAACCAACAATTATTCAATAAATGTAACAAATTCTTAAACTTTGAATAAACAGGCGTAGAAAGAATATTTTACAGTTACTATCAGTATTAGAGATAGTATCTTCTGCAAAAAAATGTTTCTCAATGGAGATGACTCCAGTTTTAAATTGATGTTTCAGAAAATAAGGATACTTTATTTTTGGATGAAATATACATTTTTTGTCGTTCCTTATTTATTTTTATGAAGAATACATTCTTAGAAACAAATTATGAGAAAGTTTTCCATATGGTAAATTCTATTCTATCCACATTCTAAATTAAATATCGATTTCTTAAAAACAATTATTTCTACCAAAATGATTATCAGTCTTTAGAAAATTTTAAAATGAACAATAAATATAATAACTCATTTTCTCCTAGCTTTGATTTTATTCTGCAATTTCAACTGTAGGTTAGGCTCTATAGCACCTGATACTCAAAGGAAGCGGGAATACTTTTTTTCAACTTTGAGGGTTGCTTCTCGTAGCGGAATACCATCTTAATAGGAAAACGCTTTAAATATGATCATTTTTATAAACCCAACGTGGGAAAATATTATGAGTACTATATGATGGAATTGGCCGATACTTGATGAAAATCCATAACTGTAAAGACACGCCCAAAGAAGCCATTGTATGGTGAAATACATGTTGTGTTTTTGTAAAACTGTTGAGAGAAAATCTCATAGTAAAGTGTTGTTTCAATACATCATGAGCAGTAGGCAATTGTTTGTATAACAATATTTTTGATGCAGACACGGACTTCTTCAGAAAACACTTCATTGTGAGATTTTTACTCAACAGTTTTACAAAAATGCTATACGAAAGCTTCTTCAGACTTGTCTATACTCTATACTTTCAGTATAGACACGCTTGAAGAAACTGTTGTATAGCGAAATACATGTTGCATTTTTGTAAAACTGTTTAGTGGAAATCTCACAATGATATGTTTCTTGAATGCGTTATAGATTTTCATCAAGTATCGACCAATTCCATCACATATGTTAAACTTCATTCATAAAATACATCTGCTGTTTTTTTCTAGGGTTAGCAGTGAATCAAAGAGTGGGCATGGTAATAGTTCAGGCTCCGCAATCAAAGTCAGTAAGAACCAAATAAAATTGTTTTCCATATTATTTTTTTAGTTAATCCTAATTTGTTTTGAATGGTATTTGAGGTAAAGGGTTGTATTTTTCGAAGTATGAATATCAAATTGTTGTTTGAGTCGAAAACATTTTAAATTCATGATTTTCAGAAAAATTCACGTTTGACAGTCATAGAACGCCTTAAAAGGAAACGACAAGCTTTATTGAATAAACAGTGTAAGTTTCATGCATCATTTTTCAAGAAATCGCTCCTCAATTTTGTGATATTTGACAATTGCTACTTTTTTTAGTCAAGGCAGATAAAATTGCTGAACAGCTCAAAACAGAGAGAGAAAAACAGGAACAACAAACAAGAGAGGATGAATTGCGTGAAATGGCAATAAAGTTACGTCGAAGGTAAGAATGATATTATTTATAATGTGAAAAATAATATATATATATATATATATATATATATATAGTTATATCAAAGCATTTCATTGATAAATAATCTGAATTCAGATGTTAGAAAAATAATTCTTCAAACTTCCTCGGGAGGGTGGAGCACTTGAACGTGATATTGAAATTTACTTTTATGCTTTGATGAGATATGATATCACCTGCAATCATTGTATATAGGTATTATCCTAATACTGTTAATCTTTCATTGGTCATCAATAAAACCCTATCCCAATCAGTAACCAGATACCAAGATTCCATTGTGAAATTAAAGGTTCGGATTTCCCTTTTCTGAAAATATTTCAAATCTATGAGAAACATAAAATTAAAATATGATTGAAAAATAAGAAAGATTAAAAAATTAGAATGATTAATAATAACCTAATCAAAATATTTGTATGAGTTACTTGAAATAAAAAAATAAAAAGAATTTGAATTGTGTATTTAAGTTAAAAAAAATTGTAGAAAATTGTATAGTGCGAAATTGGAGGTGTTCAATGCTGACCAGTGAAATGGTATTGAAAACTTTTTCTTAATCACAATGAAAACTTTCCAGTAAATGAACAATGTCCATCAACAATTAGTACTTGACACGCTGAGGTAAAATTCAGGAAATGATAAATTAAATATTTCGCTCTGCTGCAAATTACCCGGGAATTATTAAAGCCATTTTTGTCTTACTACAGAGTTTTGAATTGTCTCTTAACAAAGACAATGTTACTATCAAAAAGCTGACGCTACAAGATATTCAAAATATTGTGTAAGTAATTGAAGAAAGTGTGGTGTTTCTTATACATTCACTGATCTTCGTAATTGCTTCAGGATTAGAAAAAATAACAGAAAACCAAAAGACTCGTTCAGTTCTGGTTATTTTATCAAAACTGTATTACTGTGACTGTATTTACGGTCCTGCAATCACACAAATCAATTCAGTTCGACTGCAGACGATTCAAAATTCGTGTCGTCGCTTTTCTTATGGCATAAGAAAATATGATCACATTAGCTCAAAAATTGAAGAATCGGAATGACTAAGATTAGAATTAAAACAGAAAATCATTTACTGAAAATCACTTGTGTAATATTGAAATTCAAAAAAACATAATATTCAGCTGACAAACTTCAAAACATTTTGAGCATATAATAATGTCAATACTCGCAAAAAGCATTCGCTTCTCATGGTTGTCAATATTAATTACTACTCTTTATTTATATTATGCATTCTGCTGATGAGATCATTATTTGTATTTGTTTCTAATACCCTGATTTATTTTCAAACTATTGAATTTGCGATATTGCGTAAGTGATACTATTGTTAGGATCTAATAGGCTGAACTTGGCAAGAATGAGTCAGAGTTAAATTCAATGAATGTGAGCAGTAATGGACGTATAGGGCTTCTGGATGTGACTCACGAATTACTGCCTGCACACCTTTAAAACTTCCTTTCATTGAAGAAGCTCCATCATATCCTTGTCCGATTAAGTATTCGCAATCTACTCCCAAAGATTTCAATTCAGATAAAATTGCATTAGCTAAATATTTTCCTTTTGTATTCTCAACTGTTACAAAAGTTAAAAAATCTTCACGCAAGATAAACACATTATCTTTTGGCTCAGTATATCTCACACAAATGGACATTTGTTCTTGTTGTGAAACATCAGTAGTTTCGTCAACAAGGATTGAAAAAAAATTCGCAGTATTGAATTCTTGCACAATTTTTTTGGGCTATTTCACCACAAATTGCAATAAGTTCATTTTATCTGGTCGGGCTTAGGTAGGTAGCGTTCAACTTCATATTTTCCATATGCTTCATTAGATTTGAGTCTCCACATCTGCTTCTCATTCGTACGATAGCACGAAAGTTTCCATCATTTGTTTCTGGCTCAGGGTCATTGATTTTTATAGGACCTGAGTCGCACGTACCTCTCAAAGCCAATTCCTGACGTCCACATAATTTAATTGTTTCAATAATCGGAATGAGCTTTTCCTGTTTTCGGCTATTTGCGATAAGTATCGGCTATCAATCTGACTCATTATATTTGGTTGAGATGTATTATACACCTTCATAAAATAATCAGCCAATAATACTGAAGATTTGTAATACTGGCTTTCACTGTGATGCTTAAAATCATGGAAAGCCACTCACTAAATGGAAAGATACTCTTTCCATTTAGTGAGTGGCTTAGTAACTAAGGATTTCAATTGCTGATGAGAGCCTTTTCCTGCACAATATCTGGCAAATAATACACAGTATTTGCATAAAGCACCTTGTTGCCCTGTACTCGTGTAAACCAACCACGAGAAGCGTTCAATCCATTGAATTTGAAATTTTAGCTTTCTTTTATCGTCACTTACGGGAAACTTGAATGTCTTTTCTGGCATCTAAGGATATTTCAACAATCTGTACTTCAAATCTTCATCAATTTTTATGTTTGATCCCATATAGTATCCCACATCTAAAAAATGATGAGAAACATTATCCACAGTCCTAGAAACGGCACCAGAAGTACTAGAACTACTTGTAGCAATATCGCTGTCGAAATCACTTGAACACTGATTTTCAGTAAAACCTTCACTGGCTTCACTATCAGTATCAAGTTTTGACCCAAGCACCTGAAGCATACATGATGACAGGCTTGAACATCATGTTGTATAGTAAAATCTTACTATTAAGATTGAGTTTTGAATTTCTATTGACCAGCGGATAGAGTTTAGCTATCCTCATCTGCACATTGTTCTTGATATAATCAGTGTGATTTGTCCAGGTGAGTCGGCGGTCTACCCAAAAACCTAGGTACTTGATTCGGGTTTGCCATTCGATCTCCCTGCCTGAAATCGTGATCATTGTATCTGGAGAAACTTAACGTCTCCCCAAGTCTATCGCCTGAGTTTTTTCTGGATTCACTCGAATCTTCCAGTCAAGGTACCAGCGTTCGAGGTCGTCCAATGCGCGTTGCATGTAGACGACCCCCCAACGCCCGACCCATGGAAGAAGCGAGGAGAGCCGTATCATCGGCGTAAAGGGAAACCTTCACGTGATCTAACCTCGGAAGGTCGCTCATGTAAAGGCTGTACAGTAGTGGAGATAGCACCGCTCCCTGAGGCACTCCAGAGCTGAGGCACTCGCCAGAGCTCGCCATCCCCAGGTTCGAGCGATTTCAAACACTCGCTCCACCTCTCGTTTCTATAGTCAGTGATGGCCTGTTTAACCTGGTTGGCCATCCTGCTGGCCGCAGCCTTGTCTCCAGGGTAGAGAGTCCGCTGATAAACTCGTCTGAGTCGATTTCTCTCCCGGATAAGGTTCTTTATCCAGGGAGGAAACTCATTGTAGCTCCGCAGAGGACACTCTGTCCTGGTTATGGCTGCGCGGAAAGCGTTGTTCACAGACAATTCGAAATCTGCCGCTGCCGCGTCGAGACCGTTGCGAGTTTGAAGCGCCTCACGGTCTGTACGTGTCTCCACTAGGTGAGCTTGAAGGCTTCCCAATCCGTGCATCAGGATGACTGGATTATGATCTGAGTCAAGTTCCGACAAAGTGTACACTTCGCAGGACATGGAGACGTTCCTGAGCCGTGCGATATCAAGCACGTCAGGCCTTAAATCCCCACGGTAGAACGTGGGCTCATCTGGACCCATCACTCGATACTCATGCCTGTCAGCATGCGCATGGAGCGCTCGGCCGTTCGCTTTGTTGAGTCTGCTCCACAGATTGTGCTTGGCGTTGAAGTCACCAGCAGCAATTGTGGGGTTATTTGTCGTGTAACTGACCCGAGTCAATGCCGAATTGTACGTGAGGAAGATTACGTTTGACAAAAATGCCAACTCCTCCTCCAGCACGTCCAACGCGTTCTTTGTGGTAAAAACGGTAGTTTGGAATACCAAAAGGTTCATTGTGCAGATGGGTTTCCTGCACCAGTGCAACATCGATGTTTTGTTAAATTAGAAAATTCTCAAAATCTAATTTCTTGTTTGAATGTTGGCATTCCAAAATACAACTTTAAGAGATCTAGGCAATTTTGGTTGTCTAGCCATTAACAGGTTCCAATTAGCACGTTGGTGTTCACCGTAAACATCTTTTCGAGTACGGTGAACTGAATGAAGAGTTTCTTCATCTGCTCCAGAGCGGAACAGATGTCACTAACCTTCGACGGACGGGTTCACTTGAACCAAAACCAGGGAGAGCGGTCGATTTCCTCGCATCATCCTGGTGACGGATGATGGTTGGAAACCTTTTTCAACCAAGGCGTCCTCGATGTCAGCGGTCTCCAAATGTTCCGGGACTCCTCTGAAGACGGCTCTGATTTGCCTGTCTTCAGGTAAGGTATACGTGTGGTGGGGAATGTTTTCCCTCACCAATAGTTTGGACATACTCCTGTAGTCCTCGTGAGGAAGATTACGTTTGACAAAAATGCCAACTCCTCCTCCAGCACGTCCAACGCGTTCTCTGTGGTAAAAACGGTAGTTTGGAATACCAAAAGGTTCATTTTGCAGGTGGGTGCACCAGTGCAACATCGATGTTTTGTTAAATTAGAAAATTCTCAAAATCTAATTTCTTGTTTGAAATACTGTTGGCATTCCAAAATACAACTTTAAGAGATCTAGGCAATTTTGGTTGTCTAGCCATTAACAGGTTCCAGTTAGCACGTTGGTGTTCACCGTAAACATCTTTTCGAGTACGGTGAACTGAATGAAGAGTTTCTTAATCTGCTCCAGAGCGGAACAGATGTCACTAACCTTCGACGGACGGGTTCACTTGAACCAAAACCAGGGGGAGCGGTCGATTTCCTCGCATCATCCTGGTGACGGATGATGGTTGGAAACCTTTTTCAACCAAGGCGTCCTCGATGTCAGCGGTCTCCAAATGTTCCGGGACTCCTCGGAAGACGGCTCTGATTTGCCTGTCTTCAGGTAAGGTATACGTGTGGTGGGGAATGTTTTCCCTCACCAATAGTTTGGACATACTCCTGTAGTCCTCGGCCATGTTTACTGCCTTGGTAAAGTTCACCTTATGGAAGGCAGCCAGCTTTGTGAATTGAACCCACTTGTCCTTCTGGCGAACGACAATTGGGGGAACGCGTGTTTTTCTGGTGCTTTGGGGCACCTCAGGACGCGGAAGGAGAGGGAAGCTAGTTCCCTGATCGTTGGGGTTTTCAACCTGATTTAAATTTTGGGATGGCTGTTTTGGGCCACCCTGTATGGTCGAAATCGATTTTTCAGACCTATTGTCGTCAACCAACATTTCATGGTCACCTTCGACGAAAGACTCTGTTGTTGAGAGTTCTGACTCTGAAGTGTTGTTCTTGGCTTCGTCCCGGAGCTTTGACATCTTTTTAGCCACTTTTTTGGGCTTGTTGCCGGTATTTTTGTTTACTGGAGCGACTGGTTTGGATGGAAGAGGAGGAAACTCTTCTGGAAGGCGATGCTTTTTGTTGGCCGGTTCTTGAGGCTTGATCGTATTGTCGTCGTTGTTGGTCTCAGACTGAGCAGAGAGGGTGGTGCCGACGGGAGTATCTCTGGAGGATACATTCCATGACTGACGCTCGAGAAGCTCCTTGGCCCCTGGTAGAGGGCTCCCGAACTGCCACCACGGAGCTGCCCCTTAGCAGTTTTGATGGACTCAGGCCCTGGCGATCAAGCAATAAGCCCATGAAGGTAATTACTTCACCACCCCTGTCTCTGGCCATCAGGCTGTCAAGCAGTTCCTCCATACTGCTGTCTAAAAACTCATACCCTTTGATATCCCAAGGGTAGGCGATGAACAGTTCCAGAAAGTGATAGTTTGAACACACTCACCAGAAGTCTGGAGGGTCTTTGCGCACTACAACCAACGCACTCACTAATAGGAGATATGTAACTACTGGTGAATGGCTGATCATCCACCAGAAATAGTCGTATTTGTGGAAAAAACTTCGAAATTATCGCAGCGAAAAATATTATGTATGTCAGTTTGACAGCTAACGTCAGAATTAGACAGAACTGCGCCTGCGTGCTCGACAGGGCTCTTATATATTCCGCAGAAACGGCATAAGCAGTGTTACCAATGTTAGATGTCAAAATTACTTACGTTGAGCTACCGTAATACTCACATTTTCGCGCCCTTATTTAGTATTCCTCACAAAATCCTCACATCCTCAATCTCCCTTGATCCCCCCCTGGCTACGGCCTTGACTCAGACTGTTGCCTTTAAATCTGATCTCACAGTTGGAGAATATGATTTTTCGGATATTCTTGATATTGGGAATCTTAACACCCTTTCTTTTCATAGAACCAAAAAAATATCATTACTTCATTCAAAATTATATCAGTTGCCAGACAATCAAAAGTTGTCGCCTTAGAATAACCTTCTGAAAAATATGGAAACCAATAAGTACAAAAATTCCCGATATTTAATGAATGATAAAGTTGAATGTTTCTACCTATTAATCAAGCATTATCGCCCTAGAATAATTAATATTTTATATTCATTAATTTATTTATCTGACTTTACCCACTTTTACTAGTTGAGAAAGAATTCTGTCTCTCTTTTTAGGTAGGTGAATCTTAGATTAGAATTTTCTGATCAGACCTTAGATCATAGTAATTAATGTTTTTAGAATATAAAATGTTTCAATCTAAAAGTAGTTGATCAAATTTTGCTTGAGGAAACTATCGTATAGCGAGTATCGTGTGGAGGTTTCACCTTCTATAGTGAAAATCAGAATAAATTTCATTAAGTTTTGATATGGATTTCCAGTTCCATTCAATCAATGCTTTTGGAAATTATCTCTACCCTAAACTGTCTGACGAATTTAACCAAGACTTTCAATTTTCAAGGCAAAGGGAAATAAGGCATGCTAATGATAGCAGAAGTTCTAGTTCAGATTCTGATTCAAGCAACAAAAGCAAAAATTCTGAAAAAGAAAAAACAAAGTCTCGTAGTACAAGCCAAGACAAAGATGATTCAAGAAAACACAATTCATTTCGAGACAACAGAGACAAGAAAGAGTACCCAGATGGAAAAGACAGTAGAAGTAACAAAGATCGCAGGGATAGTAAAGAACAGAGGAGCAGAGAATATAGAGATTCAGAAAAAGATAATTTCAGAAATCGACGAAATTCCAGGGAAACTAGGAGAGATAGAAAAGATTGTCATTCATCTTCTCCAAGAAGAGGCTATAGAGAAAATTGGCGAAGCGAGAGAGAGAAGGAAAGTGATAGAGGTAGTAGGCTAGTTGACTATTAAAAATGGAATTGTATCAGATGTTGATGTATTTAATGTAATACTTTTACAGCATTAAAAAATTATTTATATCGACTTTCTTTACAACAAAAGTACAAGCAATTTCTTACTAACATCAGTGTTATCCTGCACTAAAAATGAAATCACTTTGCATTTACAATATTGACAAATTCAGGTTTTAGAGATCAAAAAATTATCTAAAAATGAATCTTCCACAACAAAAGTACAAGCAATTTCTTACTAACATCAGTGTTATCCTGCACTAAAAATGAAATCACTTTGCATTTACAATATTGACAAATTCAGGTTTTAGAGAAGCACCACCAACTAAGAAACCGTCAATATCCGGCTGTGTTCCAAGTTCTTTACAATTGGCTCCAGTGACTGAGCCACCATATTGAATTCTGATGCTTTGTGCAACTTCAGGACTGATATTTTGGCTGATATATTCTCTAAGGGATTTGTGTACATCTTGAGCTTGTTGTGGAGTGGCAGTTTTTCCTGTTCCAATAGCCCACACTGGTTCATATGCAATCACAACATTAGACCTTAAACAAACAAAAAAATATGGAATGAAACATGTAAACAGAAAAAAGAAATTTGGTTTTTCAATTGGTTTCTTGAGTTTTATAATCTCACACAAAGTCAAACATAATTGATAAAGAGAGAATGTTGCATTTGCTTTTTCCAGTAACTTGATTGTGTACCAAATCATATTGAAATTCAATTCGACAACCAAAAAATGAATTAATACAACTAGCAGAATTGTTATGCCTTGAAGTTATATTAATCTACACATGATAATGTGTATGTTCAAGTTACAAGTTACAATAATATAAATTTTGATATCAAATTTTCAAAAATGAAAGCAGTACAGTGACAATTCAAAATCATTTCTCCATTTTATGTGACTTGCGGAGAGGGTCATTCCTTGTCAAATCAAGGCACCTATTAACATTTCTATCTCAGTGTTTTGAATATTTAGGTTGGGAAAAAATTAAAAGTTTCAATTAATTTTTAGAAGTTCTTACTAAGAACCCATTGCTTTCTCATTTTGAAACTTTGCACACTAATGTCCATATAGTAGACTACTAACTTCTATGAATTTTCATAGTTTTCATAGTTTCTTTTTAAACTCCTCCCCCCTGTGTTAATTATTATATAAAAATCTGTTTGAAAAATTTGAGTAAACTGTTGATTTGACATGAAATGGCCTGGTTGTTTCATTGAAGTTTGAGGGCCTTGCAATGGTTTTGCGGTCAAATTCATTCGAGGGCTTTCGAATGTACCCATCATACTATAGGATCAGCTTAGCAACTATTCCTTCTTGGATGGTGTCGAGGACTATCACTATCAGTAGCAGTTTTCAGCTGCATTAATTCCCAAGGAGTATAAATAAGACATTAATATGAAATGATGAATATCAGAAACATCTTTTCTCAAGCAAATACATTAGACTATTCATTGCTGACCTTTAGTTTGTCCTGGACATGAAAAAGCCTATGTCTGTTCTTGTGTCATATTGGTAAATTTCACTGTTAATTTCTTAAATTGACTAGGTTGAATTTCTTTGTTATTTTAAATATAAAAATCACACAAAATAAAGTTTCTTTGAGATTGAAAGCTACTGCTATATTCTCTGTTCATTTTAACTATACTTTCTATGTTTTCACCTGATTCTGTCACAATTAATTGCAAATAAAAAATTTATTGAAAAAATTAGAACTTTTTATTATTGAAAAATAAATTTTAATAATCTCACCAATCTTTAATTTTATCAGCTATGGCTTTTATTTGTCTAAAAACAACTTCTTCAGTTTTACCAGCCTCACGTTCCTCTAGAGTTTCGCCAATACACGCAATCACCTTTAGTCCACTTTCTAGAGCAAAGGCTACCTTTTCTGCGATCAACTCATCTGTTTCTTTGAAAAGTTGTCTTCGCTCAGAATGTCCCAGAATAACCCAATTAACTTTGATGTCTTTCAGCATAGCTGGAGAAATTTCACCTATGGAAGAATTTTTCATTCAAAAATACGAAAAATACAATAACATTTATTCTTTAGATCATAATGTACAACATGAGAAAATATAATACACCAACAACCAAACAAGTATTTTGTTCAAATAAAAATTCTTTTTGTTATTTATTTATATAGAGGAAGATAGGTTAGGTGCACAAAATGTCATATGTCACAGAATGTCTCGGAACATAAGTAACCAGAACAGCACGCCTCTGAAATATGTCATCTTTGTTTGTCTCACACAGGTAACAGATTCATTGTCCTTTATTAGCTATATTTCATTCCTCTTTTTTAAGTATTTAAATATCTTTTTAAGAAAAAGGTTGTAATGATAAGTTTAAAATGCATTGTTTTAGAGCTCTTTTATGAAAACTACTTGATTTTCGTCAGGAGGAACATTTTCCATTGGAATAATATTGTGCCCGTAGATATTGAGATAAGGAGGGTTTGAAGAGTTGGAGGGTGTTACTTTAATTTCATTAGGAAGCTTGTTATAGTCCAAGAGTCCTGTGAAATATAGAATTCATTGTTCTTGCAAGGTTAGTTTGTGGGACAACCAAGCCATCTCTTCCTCTTGTATCATATTTGTGTATCTGATGGTTATATGTAATGAACTCATTGAAGTAATGTGGTGCTTTTGCATTGAGTATTTTAAATATGAATATCATAGAAAAATATTGTAAACTATTTTTTATTGTTGTCCAATTAAGAATATTAATTATTAATATAGGAAGATTCCAGCCACATTTCAGTCTTCTTCAGTTTGCACAGCATATAATTATTGTTGAGTTCAATGAGACAGCAACTATTTTCTTTGTTCATCTTACTATTTCTGCAGTGATTCAATGATTAACTGTAGCCCATGAAATGGTTTCCCATGAAATGGTTTTCTTCATATATCAAAGATATTCAAATTTAAAATGTGTGTTCACATATAAGGATGGAATTTTGGAAAATATTACTATCTCACCTAATATATTTAGTACAATTAGTATGACAATAAAGGATTACCGTCTGCATGTTGTTAAAGAAAGAACCAAACCCATAAAATATGATGAGAAAATGTCTATTTTTGATGTTTGAAAGTATATCCAAGAGACAAGGATTGTCTTCAGATCTGCAGAATAGACCTTTGAAATGTCATATCTCTTAAAGTTAGTCTCAGCAAACAAAAATACTTCCAAGGGAAAAATTTTACTTTTACATGATCCCAAATTTCATAAATGGTCCCAAATTTCATAAATGGCCATAGTAGCTTCATTTCTCAAAAAAATTATTGTGTCAAATAATCCTATACCTGTAAAGGCACCCTTGTCAGCCTTGTAGCAATTCTGGGCAGCAACTTGGACATTCGCAGGAGCATTAGATTTTACATAATCTAGGTAAATAGCTGGTACTCCAACAATTACTTCAGTTTCAGGATTGAGAGGACCGGCCTCAAGGAACTTTAAAATATCTGAGATTTGCGCTTTGTTTCCATTCATTTTCCAATTTCCTCCAACAACAAATTTACGGCCCATTTTGCACTAAAATTATATAATTATTCAAAGAGGTTGTAAATTGAGTGGAATGAATGCAACTTTTACAGACAGTTCCCGTTTTACCACATTATTAGCTAGGAGAAAAAAATTTGCAAAATTAGCACTAAGCCTGATTTTAAACAACGAGGAGATTGTATAGATCAACATTACCCTACAAATCACTTTTTTGTCAATCATTTTGACTTTTTGGACAGGAACTTTTTAACAATTAACAGAATTTTAAAAAAAGCCTACTTCAACTGAAACTTGGTAAGTATGTTTCCTATGTAGTTACGTCTTTAATTCAGTAATTCAATGTTAAACAGACCTGTTTCAATTGTCGTCAACACCTCAATTTGCTCAGTTTTCCAAAGGTATTTGATCAATTAATTCTTCTTATGCCGAATAACCTTCAAAAACGGAAAGGTCAAACTATAACCTCACTCTCACTATTCTGAATTATGTTCCATAAATAACTACTTCCTAGCCGGTACTAACCAGAATTTTTGACAGTGGTTTTTCCGGGTTTTCCTGCAGATGAAAAAACAAATGCACTACTGGAATCAATGAAGTCGCCTTGGAGCGCCAATTAATTTTTGTTGTTGTTTTATAATTTCATATGTATTTCGGATGTGTTATCGTTAATCAACAATGTTATTTCTGGATAAACGTTTGAGTCAATTGCTAAATGATTTCAAACTACACAGTGATCATACATTTTCCAATCAATATTATAATTTTCAAACTGAATATTGAAGTTAGCCGTTCCTCTCCGAGAGTTACTTTTTAAGATCTGATAAATCGTCAGGGCACCGTATAGAAGTAAACAATTCTACTTCTATACGGTGGTCATGGGAAGGTGAAAATCATAGAGGGCACAGTATAGTTGTTACAAAGGGGTTCTAACATTGGAGAATTTCATGAGCTGACAATAAAAATATCTTGACCATTTTTTATTCCAGTCTGTTAAAAAAATGACTGAGTGATTCTGAGTTGAGTACTGTTTTGTGTTCTCTAAGAATACCTAGATGCATATTTTTACATAAAAAAGGTGCTCAATTCCTACTATATTTTTTAAATGTATTGAATAAAGGATTTGAAAAATGATACTTCAGCTGAATTCAGTGAATAGAAGACAATGTATTCTTCAATTACAAAAAATCTTGGTCAAAAAGAAAGTGTTTTCTCTCAAAATAGTTTGAAAGTGGCCGAGGTACTATCCGCTTAAATGCTCCAAATCCATACTCGTCTGACTTTTCGTCATCAGCCAATTGTCACTTTCACCACAACAAAATCATTGGTTGGTATTTTGACGTTTGACGACAGTATTCAGTAACTGTATGGAAAACTGTGGTCTGTGGTTTGATTCAACACCATTTTCAGAAAACTCTATTCCATATCTGACCGGTTTTTCATTAGAACCACAATAGCGGCGATTTTAGAAACACCAAACCAGGGTTCCTATATACCTATATACGAACTCTGACATCAAACCATATTTTTAATTACTTTTGAAACGTACGCTCAGTTCACCGATGGATCCGACGGATTCAACTATTTTCTTTGCCAAACGTTAGCGAGTTTCTATTGGTTGGAGCAATCATCAAACCTCATCTGTCTATTGAAATACAACTCACAGGCAGTACTTTTGAATGATTGTACCCGATTTCAACTTGAAATAAAAGAGAGGAAAGCTCTTAATTATGTGTCTCGCGAAGTTGTAACTTAACTCCCGTTGTTTGAAAGAGGAAAATTTCAATCTCACTTTTTGTAATGTAATTTGGAAATTATGATTTTAAAATTAGAATTTGAATGTTTTCCTTCTTTGTTACTAACCAACTGACCTGACCTTATTAAAAATTCACCTCATTCCTAGTTCCGAGTTGAACGTCGGAGAAACATAAATAAGCTGTGTTGAAAACCGGAAATATAAATAAAATAATTAAGACATATATTGATTTCAATATGGGAGTGATCAAAATAGTACTTATCTATTTATCTTTTGATTTTCATGGAATTATTTTCCAGCAACTTGACTGCATTAACCTTTCTCGATTTTATATATAAATATCTCGTCAAGAAGGTTGTGAGCTGAGCATGTGCATTTGTTCACTGTCCATGAAAAAGTACCTTTAATCTTTATTCCATACTGTAGTTTCGTCACGAAAACTGTGCCGGAATATTATCCATTTTAGTTTGAAAGGAGAATTTTGAATTTTTTTCTTCTCATTGTTTTATCAGTTATCTGAAAGTATTCTTTGTGTCAACATCCCAGTACATAATCATGGTATGAATAACATGAAACTTCAAATTTGTTTCTCATATTAATTATAAATGAATTTACAGGCGAAAGTACATGAATTCAAAGTAACTATGACTTGCGAAGGTTGTTCTGGCGCTGTTGAAAGAGTATTGGGGAAACTTAAAGGTCAGTATGTTTATCTGTTGTTACCAAAATGATAATGAATTAAAAGGCTAAAGAATCAAAAGTCAAGAGATATATATCTCAAAGATCAATATGTATCTCTTTTGTTCAAATTCGTTAGAACTTTTGACTACCAATACTGGGTTTATCTCAGAAAGAGCCAGCTTCTTGAGCGTGAAGAGCCTCACTCTGAAATGCTTCAAATGTTTTCTGTCATTTAAAAGCATATTTTTCAAACTGGAGGAACAACTATCAGAAAGATATATGATTACTCTGGACGCTCTAATATTCTTACTTTTCAACAAAAACAAAACCATATACCTATGTAAATTTTTATATGAAAAAAGAGATTCCTGAACCTCTTTGCAATATTTAATTCAGTCTCAATTGAAAGGTAGCCCAGTCATCTAAGATATCCGAGGTCACAAAGCAATGAAGCGTTGTGAATTTTTGGGATATTGTTAGAGTAGGTACCAAGTGTGTGAAACTAAGTTTGTAGCTTTGAAAGACCTGTGAAAACTTCAAGGTGCTCAAAAACCTCGAAATTTTTGGACTTTATTCAGTTTTTGGCATATATCTTCCAAAGTATGCATCCAACGTTAAACAATGTATACATAAGATCAGCTAAATTTTTAAATAGCACTTTTACACATCTTCTGGACAATATAGAGGCAAACATACTCCAGCGAGGAAAGAGAGAAGTTGCAGAGCAGTTATTTAACTTTAATTTAAGCGTAAGTTAAACCCTGTGAGACATAGTTCCCTTGTTCAGAGTTGGGTAGTATCCGAATACTTCTGTATTCGGATACAGTATCCGGATACTTTATATGTATTCGAAAGCTGTATTCGGATATTTTTCAAATTTTGTGGCCAAATTTGTAAGTATCCGAATACCGAATACTTTTTTTCGATCTTCGGATACTTTTAAATTATTCGATGAATGAGAACCAGACCAAACAGCCCGATTTTATGCAGGCGTATCTTGTCGCATTTTGTCGAACATCTTCGAAAACGGTGAAATACAATTTTAGCACTTTGCCACCTTGAAAAATGAGTTATTAGAGTGCCTCATATATCAAAAATGGGCAGTAGACACCACTTGGGGCTTGTTTTCTTCCGTTTACGGGGTTGAGATACCCAAACTCGAAGTTCTGCATTCTCGAAAACGGGATGAGGTAAGGCGGTAAAATCTTTTACCAATTATAGCAGCAGTTCTGCTTCCCAAATTCAAACTAAAGTGGTATAACATTGTGAAAAATTCAAAAAAATCATCAGAAGATATTAAAAAATGTATAATAAATGTTACAAAAAAAAAAAACAGATGGAATATGAATCTTACAACGAATCAGATGAAAGCGGGGACCAAAATGTGAACGACTTTTTTGATTTCAAGATAACCAAGAAGTAGGCACTGTAGGCAGTAGTATACATATTAAAGTCATATTGTAAGATAGGGAGAGGGTTATATGAAGGCTCCTTTTTCTATCAGTTGTAACTTTTGTACTCGAAGGATAGCTGAACTTTCAACTTGCGCCGCCTCTGTGTAATTAACTAAAAATCTCATCATGTGCACAGCCTGACATGTTGCTTAGACCCAAACTTGCGGTATAAGTAGATACCCTGAAGCTGATCTGGAGTGAGTAGAGGAAGGATTTGATGATGTGAGCAATTACTGTGCATTTTTTCCAATGGTTGATAGAAAATTGTTTGTACTTTTGGACAATCGCTTCAAAAAACGTTTTTAGAGTATTCGGCACACAGTCGTCTGCCTCCTTCAGACAACAGCTGTTTGACCCAATCCATTATCATTGTGTCAAACGTTTGGGCATGAATAACTTCCAGAACTATCTACACAGCAGCTCTGACTACTCTCAGTCGCTCTTAAGCTGAATCACTTCTTCTTTCCTCATACCACTTATCATACAGAATATGGATCACAACGTATCGTCTCTGAAATTGACGATTGGACTGTGGTAATGACCAATGTAGAATGAACCAGATTTTTCCCTATAATGCTTTTTTAGATGAACTTCGACAGTTCTGGCTGGTAGACGCCTGTAAAATGGTCAGCAATGAGCTCACTCAGGGAAAATTAGCATTCCCCTCTGGTATTTGTTGCATATTCATACGGCTGCCGGACTCAGTCATGGCCGGTGAGAAGCTCCTCCCTCAAGATGTGCAGTAGAAGTGTAGAAATCTGTTATCAGTCTGTTAGATTATTCGAGCCGTAAACATCCAAATTCAGGACCGTATTCAGTTAGTGATGAAGTTTAAAAGTAAATTGCATAAACACCGACCCAAACGTTACGCAGATACGATTTACCCCACCGGCCCGGTAACTGTATATACGCTCCATCCACTCCAGGAGCTCCACCTCCCAAGGACAAAGTCTTTTTCACTTCCACTTGATCGCAATGCGTTGAACAATTATTGTAGGCATATCTGCTCTCTGCAACAACTAGGTAACTGCTACATGAAATACGCTGAATTATCTGCTGTCCCACCTCACCAGCTCGTCCCACTGTTTCGAGAACACTATCTTTCATACCTGTTTTTTTCCACTATACGGACAAATCTCCGTCGAGAAACTGGTCATTTTTGCTGGGTCTTTATGAATTCCTGGGTGATTTTTTCTCCACATAGAAAACAAATATATCCCCCAGTAGGTGAAGCCTCGAGCCCAAAGCAGGGCTGTCATGATCCCTGCATGAAGTCGAAACTGTGGAGAGATGCTTTACCATTACTTCAGACTGTGTATCTCTTTCTACAACCATCATGTAAGGTGACTCCCTCCGTTCAATCTTTTCAAAAACTGTTCATTGTCGTAAAGTCAGTGTTTCTCCCTCACTTTCATTAGCGTCTGTATACCGCGTTTTTTAACTGTCACTATCCCTGTGCCTTCCTCAAGGGCTTTGCAGCAGGTGAAACAAACATCCCTCGGCAGAAGTCCTACATTTCATACAAAACCATTCACTGTGTGTTATTTACAGTTAAATCCGGACAGGGTTATTTCAAGGAGCAAAATGGACTGCGGAGGATCAAGGGGAAAGGTGTTAGGAAGAGGGGAAGAAAGGGCATATATGTATTATTGAGGAGCTCATATAAGAGGTGTGGGACCGGCCTCACACTATGGAAGGCATTAATTCAATTGCCTTGAGGTAAAAACCGGTTTACCCCAAAAGGTATAAAATGATACCTATCTATCCACAAGACGAGGCCCACGTAATTATTTCACAAGTTGTACAACTAAGTACAGTGTGTCTCACTTTTTGTTTCTTCCATAAATATTGGAATAGAACTATGTAAATTAAGGAAACATTTTGTCAACCAAAACAAAAGTACCTACATCTTGCAAAACCAAAATAACCTTTATTTGATGTCTGAAATCATTTGAAGAAATTAAATTACATCCATTTCAATAAATTGAAATCAATTGGTAGCCTGATATTACCATGGAAAAAAGTTGCTCATTGATTTTCACTATCAACTTAACAATATTGTTGAAATATGTAGTTGTATTAACTTCCAGATCAGTTAACATTGCTTTCGTTGTTTCTAGTACCATTGTTGTTTCTTGTATCTTTGTTATTCCTGTTGTTTCTGCTGTGCTTTTGTTCCTATTGTTTTCTTCCTGTGTTTCCACAATTTATACACGTTCTAACTTTGATCTCATCAATGAACAATATAAAATTCTTATTGTATCATCATATCACTATATGATTATCCAATCAATATTCTGGCAATTACCATTACCACCAATATTGTTACTCCTGTCAACTTTAAGATTTTATATAACTAGTTTTCAAATAAGTAGATTCATTTTTAATAGGATTGTATTTAAATACTTCTATTATTTAAGGTAGTCTGTGGTGATTTTGGAGAAATTTCACAATCTTCAATTATTGATATTTTACAACCTTAAAAGGAGCTTTTTGCTGTTTGTTTGAAAGTGGAGAGGGCAGCATTCCACAATAATCGAAACAGCCATTTAAAAAGATACTTGTATTATTTTAGGTAATCTGTGGTGATCTGAGTGATGTTTCACAATATTGAATTGTTAGAATTGTACATTATGTATCCAGAGAAATCAGCCGGAAAATGTTTTATTCGATTTCTTTTAGGAGAAGCACCCAAGAAATATTTTAAGCAATTGCGCAAATAAAGGGTTGTATACATTTTCCTCACTCAAAAATCCTGGAGGTTACATTAATTTTTACCTTCATCATCTTTATAATTTCAGCCACCAAATGTCCACTAAGTGATTGACATTTGGACATAGGCCTTCCGGAAATAATGCATCCATCGCTGTGCTTTCTGTGTTGAACCTATTTACGAATACCCTCTGAACTTGCAGCTCGGGGAATAGACCCCGGCTTCCCCCCCTCCTAATTCGAGTCTGATTTAGGAATAGAAAACGTTATTTTCTGTGAATGTTCAAGTAGTTTGTGCACCAATATTGATATTGTTGCACGGTCTCCAGAAAGCAAGCACGATTCTGCATTATCAATTTTTGTTCAATAAGGACTAAATTTGAACGTGGAGAATCACGAGGATATTTTTAAGAGATAATGGCTATTCCTCTTTGCCCTATCTGATGAAAGTAACCCCTACTGACCCAGAAAACAGATACAACCGTTTTCAACTATTTCTTGTTGTGAGAATATAAATATTAGTTATGTTACAGTGTCCCGTTTTTTATTTAGAATTCAATTCAGAACATATTTCTAACGTTGGTGTTATCAATTCAAATGAAAATTGTTTTCAAAAAGTTAATACATACATGCAATAAAAAATTGATCATTTACGCCACTTAAAAATGAAAATCGTATATGTTGATTATTTGATTAGTTTTGAGTCATTTATTTATTTTCTTGATCTTATTACCGTTGAATTGTTGTTGTTGTTGAAAATAAAGAGTTTTCATGTAAATTTCACATTGTCAACGAAAAGTGAATATTTTTTGGCACGAAAGTTTGATACAAAATAACACATGTGGAATGTAA